CAATGCTATAAAAAACACCAACCAACACTATGAACTACGAATTGTGACTATGATTCCTCATAAGAGGATACGTAGGTATACGACTTAAAAATTATGGCGAGTCCCCTAACTAAAAAATTAAAACCCTTTTTCTAAACCTTAAACCTAAACCATAGTATCCTTGTGAACAAGGTAGATGAAGAATGTCTAACACCTTCCTTTTGTCTAAAGTGAGTCAAGAACTTATAACCTCTGTATCATCTATTAGGGTTATTATGTTATATTTCTGTCTTAGGATAAAAATTAATAGCGACGACTCTATATTTTTTGTCGATTATTACAGATGGAATACTCATTATTTATACAGATCCAAATAGAAGAATGAATATGATTTAAAATAAGGCCTACATTTCTAATAGCCCTACCTTTCAACATTAAAGTGTAGCCTTCATAAGAATTCACTATATCTTATCATAATTTCAATATCTCAAACCTAGACCTCATTGAGAATCAGGTTTACACACCTTTTTCCAAGACATAATGACCATTTTTGATTTCTCAACATTCCCAAAATAGATAAAAAAAATTTATGCACCTTTCCAAATTCCTGATCAAGGAAATAGGCTAATAATACATAGAGAAACTATGCACTAGCATAGAATAAATTATGGACTTTAGGAACTGCACCCTTCTTCCAAAACTAAGAAGAGATTCCTTCCAATCATTAAGCCTAGCCTTGACTTTATCAGCAATGGGATTTAATAAAATGGACTTCGGATTTCTCTTGAAAAAAAGGACCCTCAGATAAGAGAAGGGAAGGGTTCATGTTTGAAAACCTAGTAGATTAGACATATGTTGAAGCCTAGAATTCAGAGATAGTCCTTACAAAAATAGTGGAGTTGGCAGTGTTTACAACTTGACCCTAAGCATTAAAATACCAAGAAAATGTAAGTATGGAATGCACCTAAGAGGGGTGAAATAGGTGCTTTGGTCAATTTTTGATTTTAGAGATCAGTTAATTTATTTTTCTGGTTTAATGGTGTTTATGAAAGCAATAAAGTACAGAAAAATAAAGAACACTGAGGGATTATACTAGTTTCTCTCACAGTCTAAGAGTAGGTCTAGTTCCCTTACAACATGTATGTGATTTCAATATTGTTAGAAACTTGTACAAGCCTAATCCTAGTCTCTATACACAAGTTACTAACTGAATCACTAAGACAAATCACCTTATGATTCAACTAAGTAAAAAAGAGAACAATCTTCTTCCTTTCCACTCTTTTGCTTCAAACAATCTTGTATAGCAAGGTATCTACACAAATCAAGTGGAAAAAGAAAACAATCCTTTCTTTTCCACTCTCCTGTTTGCAAAAATCTTGGACAACAAGGTACACACACAATTCTGGAATTTTAGAAGAAGTTTGAAGATGTAAGATGTTTATCAATTACAAGAATTTATCTTCCCTTTTAAGTAAGAAATTCATAACATGTTACACAAGTGCTCAGAATTATAGTGATGAAACTTTCATAGATGCAATGAAAATGTATGCATTAAGTTTCACACAAAGGTTTATGACACATATCACTTGTTTGAAAATTTGAGAGAAAATAAGTTTGAATTGAGTTGAAAGAGGCAAATTTTTGAAATCTGAAATATAGAGCATTTATACATGCATCATACCATTATGAAAGAGTATAATATGATGAATAAATACAATGATTGATGGTTGAATTTTGAAATACGTTTGAATTAGATTTTTAGCCAAAAAAGGCCATTACTTTAATGGTAACTGGTTAACACATTATCGTAACCGGTTATAGCTGAAGCGTTGCCTGAAAAATTCAAATATTTGAATGTGTAACCAGTTATAGCTGAAGCGTTGCCTGAAAATTTTAAATGTTTGAATGTGTAACTGATTACACCTGATACTTTTTAAAAAACAATGCAATTTTACTAACCGGTGCTAATTATGGTGGTTTTAATGTGTTACGACCAGTTCAAATGCCACAATTTACCAAAAACATAATGTTGAAACAATTTTCTGAAAAACCATTTTACGTTTATCTAACCTGTTAACCAATTGGTGTAACCAATTACACCTGCTATAAAATTGAAAAATACTTAGAAAATCATTTTGTATGCAAATGCCTTAATGTTTAGAAACAAGTTATGCATATGGATGAAATTAACACAATAGATATGAGCACTATATTATAGCATATAATAAATTTACAACTTGTACATAAAAGTGATGATAAAGATCCAAAGAGGTTCAAGTTCATCTTAATAATGTTTCTTGAGTACAAGTCTTGATTCCATAACTTTGACTTATGATGTTTTAGCTCATCTTTTGAAATATGTACAAAGTATTGAGAGATTGAAATAGTCTTCATCAAAACACAATGTTGGAGAAGCTTGACTTCACAATCTTCCCCTTTTTTATGATAACAACCTTTGAAATTTGATGTGCTTGAATCTCTTAGAACAATTGAGAAGCTCTTAAGTGAATGATTCCCTTAACTTTGATAACTCCTCCTTGATCAAAGCTCTCCCTTGAATCATAAATACTTTGACATCTTTGTTGCTGCAAAAGTTAAAAACAACCATACACATACACATATATCTCCTCCTCATTTGTCATTAGCAAAAATGACGGGGAAAAGAGTTGAAATTATCCAAAGAAATCACGAAAATATTATTAATTCTTTTACCTATAAATTTTACCTCATGAGTGACTTTATCTTCAACCAAACATTCATTCTTGGTGAACTTGATCTTAAAGCCTTTGTCACAACGTTGGTTTATGCTAAAAAGATTGCGCTTTAGTCCTTCAACATAAAGTAAATCTTCAATGAAAGTGAAATATGGTGCTCCAACTTTGCCAATGCCAATAATTTTTCATTTATATTGTTGTCCTTATATGTGACATAACCATTGCCTTTAAGCACTAGGTCTAAAAAATTGCTTATGTCTCCCGTTATATGCTTAGAACAATCACTATCAAGATATCATAGGTTTGTAGTGATCTTCAAGCAAACCTAGAAAACAAATTAAGTTTTGTTTGATACTAAGTGTGTCTTGGGTTCTTCATAATTAGTTCATTTACTGACTCACAAATAATATCCTCTAGCAACACTAAACTTACTTATATAGCAAGCATTAGGCGTGTGACCAATTATACCACAATAAAAACATGTAGGAATAAAATTACTTCTATATCTAAGAACATAAGATTCTTTCTTAACAAATATCTTCTTAGGATAATGATGTACATGTATCACTTAGTTCACTTTCTCTTTTATGGATTGGTCACTTGCCTTAACAAAGATAGTTTTGTTAGAACTTTGTTTGTCAAATTTAGAATAACCAAGTTCACTTTTGTCATTGAAATATCTTTGGTGACTAAGAACACCATCCAATCCAATTTATCCTTTTTCATATCTTTCAATGAATCTTTTTAATTGGACAATTTGAAAAGAAAGTGACTCACATTCTTTGCATGTAAAATTTTGTTTTTGTTTTTCAACTTTAAAATCTTTTTCCATGGTGTCAATATTTTTTTCAATGGATAAAATTTATTTCTTTTGTGTTGACACCATTTTGTACAGAATTTTACACTCATTAAATAATTCATCTATTGCACCTTATGCATCATTATGACAAGATATTTCATTAATAACCTCTTCTTCTTCATGAACGGAATGATGTAATGCCATCAATGCCTTATTTACATATTTTTCATCTAAATATGAACTTATTTCATTGTCATCTCATGCTACATATGCTTTCTTTGTCCTTTTGTCCTTACTTTTGAAGTATATATTCTTCTTTTTAAGTGCAGACCTTTCTGGTTGGTGCTTCCATTTTAATGATTTTTTTTTCCTTTCGTTTCTTAAAAACTTTTCAAATTTCTTGATAAGATCATCATCTCTATTAATAATAGACTTTTTTTTTAATGCTATCATGAATTTTCATACACTTGTTTGATTAATTATTTAATTAATTGGTGATTTCTATGGAAATAGGAATGAATGGTGACAGGTGAAATTACTTAGTTGACGTTGATGACTAAATTAAATTCCATGCCAATCTTCTATGTTGGATCCATAACAAATATGCTTCTTTTCCTCCAATCAAACCATGGCTGAAACCAACACATATACTTAATGTAACTTCTCTATGTTTGTAATGTGCCTCATTTGTTCAGATAAAGATTTCAAGTCTCATTAATGCTTGCTTTAATTTCTTCTTGTCCTTTCATCTGATTTAAAACCATCGTCTCTCAGTCTATTGAGCTTCAAATATTCATCGATGTTAAAGAAATCATGCAAGTCAAAATAGAAATCAGCTAGTTATCATTAACTGAAGCTTGTTATCTTGAGCAATCAACTTCTATCTTATGCACTCCACTGAAATGAAAAAGGAAGAAGTTCAAATTATATACTAGTTTTAAAAAGTAATTTATTACGGTTTCAAAATTCTGCAGGCATGTTGTTGTCTATATGGGTTATTCATAGTGGACGTATTTAACTCTAATAATAGTAATAAATTATATAATTTTTTATTTTATTTATAATAGAAAAAATTTACAATGTGAATATATATTTATAATCGTTCTTATGCGTGAATTTTAAAATAATTTAAATAAAAAAATCGAATACATCTATAGATCTAAAAAGTATGATTGACAGAAAACCGAAAAAAAAAAAACTATGATTGACCAAGAATGTATATATATATATGGAATGATGTAAAAAGTATGATTGATCAAACATATAAAACTATTTATAGGAAATTTTATATGGAAAATTATTTTAATTAAAGATTTTCTCACATTTTATTATAAAGTTAGTATCTAAACTTTTTCTTTCTTTAATAAAAAAAAGAAAAGAAAGATTATTTCTTAACTTTAAATAATGAAATACTATAATAATAATAGATTTAAAGGTGTCTATAAGTTCATGCATATTTTAGATTAAAAAGATATAGTTGAAATTATGTGCAGTAGTAATATTGCAACATGAGAGAGCGAGCGAGCAGTAAAGGAACCAAGGCTGTGAGGTATATGAAGGCACCTTTAAAGATGTTGATAAAGGTAAAGGACATGTATGTCCGTGGCATGATCCGATGTTCTACTGGCATGGCTGGTATGGATACAACAATGGGATATCCTACGCTTAACTTCACTACTCCTGAGAGTTTCAACTTATGCTCGACAATATCTACCACAAGCGATGATGATTTCAAGGAGCTCGTAAAGTCTGCATCGCTGAAAATCAGACCAGGTGGGAATAACGTTGATGTTGGTGTGAAAGCAATGAATGTGGTGCCAAGGAGGAGTCGCAGTGTCGGAATGCCAACTATCAAAGAAGAGGATGAATATGAGGAGGAGTTTGAGGCGGGAGATGATGATGGTGATATCATTGTGAAGATCAATCCCCTACTTTCACAAAGTAGAAGTTGTGTCATTCACAACGGATCAAGTATGTTTTAATTGATTTATGTATATATAGTAGAACTCAAACAAAGTGTAATCAAATCCTATCCTATAGGGAGGCCGCAGCACCAAATCCGCAAGAGGTGATCCGTTTTCTTGCATTGTGGTCCGAGCAGTTTTGAGAATTTTTTTATCTTATTTAAAAATAAAATTGTTCATGATTTGATTTGATTTTAAATGATTAGTTTAAAATTTTTGATCTGAATAAATTTCATTTGTTTTAATGTGAATCAATTTTTAAATATCATAATTATAAATTATAAATTTATTATTGTTACAAATCCACCAAATATCTATGATGAATTTCTACTAATCTTGATAAACAAGATTGATATCACTACACAATGACAATGAATTATGAGAAAAGAAAGGAAAGAAGACAATTATTTTCTGCAGAGTTTCTCTCTACCCACAAACTGTGGAAAACTTTATTAATCATTTGTAACTGCAAATTACGTGATTACAATGAATTGACTTAATTTCAAAATTAGGGGTTACTCCCTCTATTTATAGATTTATGTTAGTTTGCTCCTAAACTAAAGTCCAAAACTATAAAAGCCCATAATATCTATTTTGGTACTAAATCAAATCTATCTATTTTAGATCTAAATCTAAAACAAATCAAATTTGTGTGTAGCATTTTCGACACACTTACTTCGATACTCCATTGTCTCTGTCGAGCAAACTGCTTCGACACAAGGAATTACTTTCAACGCACCACCTAAATCATTGTGTCTAAGCTATCTACATTCATCATAGCTCTTAGTCTCCGAAATACTTCGACCTGCATACCCTCCCATCGAATCCACTTGGATTGGTCCACATACATCAGAGTATATGACTTCAAGAATAACCTTCGACCTGCTTCATGCATCCTTGCTGAAGCTATTCTTGTGCTTCTTCTCCTGCACACATTCCTCACATACCTCGTTTGAAATATCAATTTCTGGCAATCCTAAAACCATATTTCTTCTCTTCAAATCTCTGATGTCTCTGAAGTTGAGATGGCCTAGTCGATAATGCCATATCCATTCATCTCTGCTAGCTGCAGTCAAAAGGCACTTGTGCTCCATCATATTTAGTTCGATCTTGAAGGTTTTATTCTGAGACATAGGAGCCTTCAAGATTAATCTTCCATTTGCGTCGACGACTCTCATCATCTTATCTTCGATCGACACTTTATAATTCTTTTCGACCAACAACCATATACTGAGAAAATTGCACTTCATGCCTGGTATGTATAACACATTGGAAATTACTTACCTCTTTCCATCTTTCCTCATAATCATAACATCACCAATATCTTCAGTTGCTAGGGTATTGTCATTTGCGAATATTACCATATTTTTCATTGAGAGCTTTATGTTGACAAACCAGTCTTTCCTTCCAGACATATGTGATGAGCATCTTGAATCCAAGTACCATTGGTCCTTGAATCTATCTTCACCTCTTGTTGTAACAATCAGCATCATCTCTTTTTCTTCATGTTTTGCAAACTTTGCATCACTTTCTTGATTCTTTCGCTTTTCCAGACAATCACTCGAATAATGACCATACTTCTGACAATTGTAACATTGAATGTGAGTCTTGTCAAGTTTTCGACCACCACCTATTCCTCTATTTGCAACACCACCTCTTTGGTTGCCTTGGTATAGTCTTCTCTGATTCAACATGTTTCCTTCGTTCTGGTTTCCTCTACCAGTCGACTTGTTTTAGCCGTCTCTACCCCAGTCAAACCACTTTCCTTTACCTTTGGTTTCTTTTGTTGAATGTGCCTGCAAAGCCACATCACTCTTCGACTTTCCTGCAGCTCTTTCAGTCATTCTTTGTTCATGAGATTCAAGCGTCCCTTGAAGCCCTTCCTTTGTCAATTTCGATAAGTCTTTCCCCTCTTCTATAGCCACCACCACGTGGTCGAACTTAGGAGCCAAAGATCTCAAGATCTTCGAAACAACAACTCTTGTTGTTAATGCTTCTCCATATACCTTGATTTGATTCACTAGTTTTTTAACCTTAGTGAAGAAATCAGATATGCTCTCACTATATTCCATTTGAAGCAATTCATACGTTCTCTTGTGAGTTTGTAACCTCACTTCTTTCACCTTTTCTACACTACTAAAAGACTTCTCAAGAACCTCCCAAGCTTGTTTTGAAGATTCTGAATCACTCACTTTTTCAAAATTTTCTGAACTCTGACATTGATGAATTATAAAGAGTGCGTTATAACCTAGCTTCTTAGATTCTGTGTGTTTTTTCTTTTCTTCTTCTGAAGTTTTTTCTCCAAGCGCTTCCAATCCATTCTTTACAAGATCCCAAAGACCTTGACACTTGAATAAAACTTTCATCTGTTTGCACTAATTCTCATAGTTGTCTAATTTCAGAATTGGTAGAGTTGCTGGATAATTTTCATTCCCATAACTTGCCGTCGTGAATTTTTCTTTTTCCTTAATCATTCTTGATCGATACTTCCCTTGAATCAATCAACCGAGCTCTGATACCAAATGTTGGAAATCCACCAAATATCTATGATGAATTTCTACAAATTTTGATAAACAAGATTGATATCATCATACAATGACAATGAATTATGATAAAAGAAAGGAAAAGAAAGAAGACAATTATTTTCTACAGAGTTTCTCTCTGCCCACAAACTGTGGAAAACTTTATTAATCACTTCCAACTGCAATTTTTGTGATTATAATGAATTGACTTAATTACAAAATTAAGGGTTACTCACTCTATTTATAGATTTAGGTTAGCTTGCTCCTAAGCCAAAGCCCAAAATACTTATTTTAGTACTAAATCAAATCTATCTATTTTAGATCTAAATCAAATCTATCTAAATCTAAAGCAAAGTAAATCTCTGTGTAGCATTTTCGACACACCTGCTTCGACACTCCCTTGTCTCTGTCGAGTAAACTACTTCGACACAAGGAATTACTTTTAACACACCACCTAATTCATTGTGTATAAGCTATCTACATTCATCATAGCTCTTAGTCTCCGAAATACTTCGACCTGCACACCCATCGCCACGATGTCTGCAATTTGATTCTCAGTTCTGCAGTGTTCCAAATTCATCTTCCCATCTGCTACCTGCTCTCGAAGATAGTGGAACCTTATTTCGATGTACTTTCTTCGACCATGTTGTTGTACCCCAAAATTTTCCCTCTCATTTATCAAGGCATTTCTCACAATGATTCTCAAAATTCAAGCTTGCACAAGTACAATTGGATTTTCCAGCATCAAGTTAAAGAGGAAACTGTTAAAAAAGGGGGGAAAACAGATAAAAATAATCTTTTTGACAAAATTGGAGAAAAATAAGTTTACTTCGATTTACAAGGCTTCGATTGGACTAGGGTCTCCTTCAAGCCTTCTTCGATTCCCTTTTCTCCGTTTGGACTTTAGTCTCTTTTAAGACTGTTTGGATTGGACTATGACTTCCATTATGCCTCCTTCGATCCATCCTTTGTGTCTCCTTCGATCCACAAAGCAATGACCTCCTGCATTCAAGCTTCGACAGCACCATTGGCCTCAAATGGTTCACAATGCAATGGTGTCCTGCATGCCTGCTTCGACTGGACATTTGATGCCTGCATGCCTGTGTTGATTGGATAAATAATTCTCTCCATGTTTGCTTTTGATTCATAAAGTAATGGCTAGCTGCATACAGCCTTCGATTGAGCAATAACTTCCTTCTTGCATGCTTCAAAGCAAGAGGCTCCCACCAGGCCAGCAGGCACAAGGCAAAAAGCCTCATGTAGCCTCCTTCGATTCAATGAGGAAAAACCTCTTGTTGATTTCCTTCGATTCAGAAGACAAGTGCCTTCTTTACGCTTGCTCCCAATTCACAAGGCAAGGACCTTCTTCAGGCCAGCAGGCACAAGGCAATGGCCTCCTTCAACTTCCTTTCGATTCAGAAGCCATTTTCCCCTTTGCATACTTCCTTCGATTCACAAAAGCCAGGATTCTCTTCAGGCCAATAGGCATAAGGAAAAGGCTTCCTCATGGCTAGCATTCACAAGGAAATGGAGCCCATAAAGCATTGGTCATTTTTCATGCTAGTTTCGACTGGGCAGTATCTCCCTTGGAAACAATTTGTTTCAACACACAATTTCTACACTATGACACATAGTTATTTTCTCGTTCAAAAGACGTAACATGGTGGCACATTCGAAGGACTTACCAGACATACCTGGATGTCCCAATCGAATGACATATTTTGGTGACCCATTCAAGGGGCATGCATTTGGTCCCTTCAAAGGATACATAAAAAGGTCTCATTCGAAGGACACATATTGGGTGAAAATCAAATAGTGATATGGTCGAAGGTTTGACCTAGGTGGTAAAAACAAAAGTTTGAAATAATCTAAAGATGCTTGCTGACCAAAGTCCTATGTGCTGCCAAGTACATGCATGTTATACTGGCCACAACACTCCAAAACTGCTACGAAGCAGTCCTGTAGTGCTGCCCCATTCTTGCACCAAAATGGCATACAAGATTGTGTCTCTAAGACTACAAGAACAACATATCCTTTTTGTTCAAATATCTTTTGTTTTCACTCCTAAACATCATCCAAAATCATCTATAAATAAGTGCCTCTACCACACATCTTAGGGGGCCCCGGATAGTTGCAAAAAAAACTCTTGTTGTGAGAAAGTTATTAATTTCTCAAAACTCTCAAACACTATCAAACGTTCTCAAATATTCCTAACACTTCACTTCTAAAAAAACCTCAGACCCCTTCCTACACTAAGTGAACCCTTTGATTCACTTCTCAAACTATCAGATAACTAACCTTCGACCCATTCCCAATTTGAAATATAATAGTCTTTTGATTCACTCCCTTACCTGTTGTAGTGTAACCTTCGATTCACTCACCACTATTACATACCCTCCTTCGATTCAGTAACTGCTCAAACAAAGTAGTAACTGACCTAGCTTCAGGAAGATTCCAATGAAGTTCCATTCACCACCAAGGAAGTCACTTGCAGTT